ATTGAGCAAACTCAGCGGGGTTGGAAAGATCATTCCAAGGGCTTTCTAAAAATAATTGGAACTACTCCTAACTCATCCTGAGCTAGGAGTTATGATTGCTCAAAGTTGGCCAAAACTCACTGATTTCCACACTTGGCCAAATTTTTCAGATTTTGAATTCCTTCCAAAAATGACTATTTCCGGTTTTTAAGCCTCTTCATAACTATTTCAAATTGTCAGATGTTATAGTATGTGGACCCTTAAATGACTTGTTTAGACTTATTTAATTGAATAAATTTTAATAATATAGTTTGTTATTAGTTAATCATTCTCCCTTTTAAATTATATTAGCTACGGTCTATATTTAAGCGTCATATTCTAGTAGGTGCAATATAGATCATTTTTGGATCATGATATCAACCCGTATATACCTTATTACTGTTGAAGTGTAGATGTCGTTGTTACAATATAAACCAAGTACATGAACAAGTATCGACTGTCTTAATTAGCTATATATTTTGACCAACAATGACAATATTCAATTATCCAAATTTTACAACGGTAACAAAGTACAAATTGCTACTTTTTCAACGGTAACATTTGCCTTTTTAGTGTATAAAAAGAAGGATTCATGAACTCCTCCATCTTATTCTATTTTAAAATACTTAAACATCTCTTTTAATTATGTCTCAAGCGTCTCAAACATCCAATGCAAAAAAAGTCTTACGTTTGTCGTTGTGGTAATTCAGCTATGTTAAGGACTTCACACACCGATGCAAATTAAGGTAGACAATTCTTTAACCGTGCAATTGATGCATGCTCTTTTTTAAAGTGGCTTGAAAATGATTCATCAACGAGTAGCCCATCAAAATTGAGTTCGACACTCGAGATATCAAATTTTCAAGGCATACCAAATTTCAAATATTAGAAAGGCTTCGAAACTCCGAAGAAAATAGGAATTTGCTATTGACTTTATTCAAAGAAGCCGAAGAGCAGAGAGATCACTTTAAAGGATTGCTAAAAGACACCAAAATAGATAGGGATCAACTAAAACAAAGGTTGATATTGGCTGAAGAAAAAGAGAAAGGCCTAAAATAATATTGTATGGTCTGTTGTTAGTGATTGCTTTTTGGAAATGTGTAAAAGGGATACAGTAGTACAATCTTATATCTTTTACTCATATGGTATTACAGTCTATTAATAAAATGAAGTCTTTCTTTTATGGTAAGACAATGCATTATATATACAATTTAAAGTTGATAACTGTCAACAATATCCATCAAAACAAAAATAACATTTACATAATCCAACTATCTTAAAAGGCACTTAAAAAACCAACTACTTCAACAACCAATTGTCTTAATATTCAACCACCAAAAAATAATTATCTAAAAAATCAGCTGTCTTAATAGTCGACCACCAAAAACCAACTGTTTAAAAAACCAATTGTCTTAGTCATCAACCACCAAAAATCAACCATTTCAAAAATCAATGTCTTAAAACCCACTTCAAAACAATTTGTCTTAAAAAATCAATATATTACTCATCACCATTGAGCTCTCTAACAATACCTATCACGTCCACTGGAATTTCTTCTTCTACCTACTTCTCCTCTTCTTTTTCTTCTTTTTCGTGCTTCTCCTCTTCTTTTTCTTCTTCTTCTTTTTCTTGATCTTCTTCCTGCTTCTCCGCTTCTTTTTCTTCTTCTTCTCTTCGATCCCCTCTTCTTTGTTTTCTTCTTCTTCTTTTTCTTCCATCTTCTCCTCCTCTTGTTTCTTCTCTTCCAGCTTCTCTTCTTTTTCCTCCATCTTCGCCTTCTATTGTTCTTTATCTCCTTCCTTCATTTCTTCTACAACTTCATTAACTTCTTCTCCAAAGTACTCATCAACTGCAACAAGATCTTCATCGACTATTGCTAATGGAAGGATTTCATTAACCTCAACTGCAACACCATCTTTATCAATTGTTGGTGCTGTATAGTCTTCGTTAACTGCTGAAGATAAGTGGATTAACATTCGTACAAATAAATTATTTTACACAAATAGTATATAAATTAGTCTACCTTCATTTTTCTTGTTCTTTTGAGCTCTCCTCAATTTCTCATCTCGTATAAAAGCAACAACTTCCATCATTGATAGTTCAAGGGATGTAACACGCTCACACAAATTATCATATTTATTTTTTTGTCCACTCGAAACAGAATTCTCACAAGGTTGTTTGGAATTGTTCTCACAAAATATTTCATCCTCCTCGTTCTCTACTGCAGAAGTGAGGACAATGACACTTTTCAAATTTTCCTTTAAGGCATCAATGATTGTGTCCTTCACGTCGTCTGTATATGACTTTAATGTTGCCATATTAATTTTGTTTTATCTCACGGATATTAGGTATGAGGTATGGATACACAACCTACAAAAAAATATATATAAATAGTACAAGACCTTCACTAATTTACAAATATTGCTAGATAATAATAAATAAGTTTATACCTCTGTACTTCTCCCTTTGTACTTAAATGGATCACCTTCGATAATATTATCGCTCTTTGTCGTGTGCCATCTAAGTAAACGGGAAATGGGCAAAGGAGAATCCAATGACTTCTTTGCATACTTTTCAAGATGAGGAAAAACCTCATATATCCAAACCTGAAATTAATAAAATAATAAATAAATAAACAGAGACTATGAAATACTATATAAATATATAAGAGTTTATTATAAATCAAGTACATAATTGATAATAAGTACCAGAAATGCCCATGGAAAGCCATATAGAGCATATAATGCATTCCCTCTTTCATTGTACACTTCACTCTGCTTCTTCAAATACTTTACTGTTAAATCGAAACACTCTTTCCCCAAGGGATAACTCTTGAAAAAATCTAAATCATCGACCATCTCAATGTGGTTGGAATCCACAATCTTAGATCGATCGTGGGCAAGCAACATCGAGTGGACGAACCAAACTAAGGAACACTTCAACTTCTGTTCCTTATTCAATTTGGTACCCTTAATCAAACTCAACAGTGATATTCTTATTCTTGGTCACTTTATAATAAAATCTCTCACCTTTCTGAAACACTTTGTCATTTTTGCATCACGGGGGTATGCTGAGCAATTCAGCCCCGTAATCAATGCAAACTCTTTTAAGCCAAAACAAGCAGGCTTATCATTCACACAGAACCACATCTCATGCAATTTTTTTTAAAAATTATTTTTGACACATATCAACAACATATAATGGACCATCTGTCCATTGAACTTGTAATATTCTGGAATATGCCTTAAATGTCCAAAACAAGTACCTTTAAAGTCATTATAATTTTTTTCTTGAACTAAAACATTTCTAAAATCACGATAAAGAGTCATTCTTGCTCTCACAAAAATTTTCGCTGGAAAAGATCCTAACTCATCCATCCATGTAGTTAGATTATAGGACTTACCAGAGATTTCTCTTGCACAAATTGGCAAGGACAGGGGATCATCATCCTCATCTCTAGTATCTCAGCTATCTCTACTACTCTCTTCATCTCTACTGTCAATTAAATCTTCACTAGATTCAACATCATCAGTAGCTTGGGCACTACTGTCCTCATAGTTATCGATCTCAGCCATTGTATCAGAATTTGAGTTAGACTTAGGTTCTTCAACTAATTTTTTTTTTCTTGAAGATCTTGAAACTTCTTCAGCCTTTCTTTTCTTGTTTGTAGAAGGCTTAGGAACAGATCCTTTAATAATACCGCCTCTAGTTTTAGCCATACTGTATTATGTACAAAAACATAATGTTCATATCAAAATATCGACCACTAGTTTATTAATACAAACAGAGTAATGCTAAAAAAATATGAAAAAAAGTACCAGTTCCAACAAAACTCGACAATGCCCTTGACATAAACACCATTAAAGTCGACCAAAATACAGTAAAAACTTTCAAATCGATAGGCCAGATAAACATAAAAAAATAAAAAATTCGATAAACATAAAAAATAAAAAATTTCTATGCATTATCCAAAGCAAAACGTCAGTAATGATTCCGAATAAAAAGAATGAACTAAAACAGGTGAGATTTTCAGAACTTTAAGCAAACATCTAAACTTAGCTACACTATCGCAATAAAAAAATCAAATAAGCTAAAAGTTATTGAAAACACGATTAAACTTACTACAGACGAAGAAGATTGAAAAAGGTCCAACTGAACTTGGGAATAAGATTGAAAAAGCTTCAACTGAACTTGGGAAGAAGATTGATGAAAAATAGACAAACTCCACTTCGTTTTTCAGGAATGATTATAGGATCTCTTTTTTCTTTATATTTTCAATAATGGAAGATGGAAGACTTGTGTTGGAGAATGATCAGTTTTATGAAGGTTGATGATTTCGGTAAAACAGGTTGATGGAAGACGAAGCATTCTCTAATAACGTGTTTTGAGGTTTCCTCGGAAAATGTTTACCCTATTTTATTAAATAATTTTTATATTCCTGGAGATTGTAATATAATTATTTGGAGGGATGCATTTATTTAATGTTGAAGTGTTGGGATGAAAATGATATTTTATATACTTATTTTTTTATCCCAAGTTCTTAAAGTGATGAAAAGGCCCATGACCCCACAATCCAACCCCACTTTTTCACTTTTTCTAGCCCTAACCACCCTACAAATTAAATCAAAAAGAAATTAAGTGGCTATTGTGCAAATTAAGTTTTGAGAGTGTCATTCCAATTAATCTCAGGTTATTGTAGGTAGTTTTGGTATGTGAAACCGAGAACAAACTAATGTAACTTTTCAAATCAAAATATCAAAACAATATTTTTTCATGAATATCCCATTGATTAATAAAACATGAAAAATAACTAAGAATTTTATGATACTGCATAACAAAGAAATTTCAAGAAATCATGTCAAATATTGTTTTCTAGCGCTATCTTTACATCTTTTTTATCTCAAAACAAGATTTGCTACAACTACTTATATAGTAAGTGCTCTTCAATGGGCACAACACACTATAGTAAAAGGTACTAAAATTTAATTGTCTTCCTCCACGGGCATCTCAAAGCGACAAATAGGGCAATAATGGCTTGTCTCTAACCACTTGGTGATACACTCTCCATGAAACATATGAGAACAAGGCATGCTAAGAATCTCATTATCTGCTTGTTTCCTCACAAGCTCTTCTAGACACACCATACATTCATCGCCTTTGGTATTTTTTGCATCGATCTCCATCTTCTTTAATAACGATTGCATAGATGACTCACTAGCTGGCACCATACCATACTGTGATGATAAATCTTCTCCTGGAAACAAAATCCTTTCCTCAATAACATCACGAGATACCAATTTTACATCCACAGATAACTCCAACACTCCGCAATAACCCTTGTTAGACTCAACAATATTACGCACCTGACTCATTATATTTCCTACTAAAGAGTCACGTACATCTTGAAACTCTAATTTCCAATTCCCAAACAGTTGTGAAATAACAAAGTAAAAATTGTCGTAGGACAAGATAACTGAAGAGGTGAGAAAGAAAGACATATGTTTCAATATTGTTTCCTCTCTTACTCCTGTACGGTAAAGTTGTGGTACATTATTTGAATACCAATTATCATGTCGAATGTGCAAAGAAGAGCTAATGTTTAAAAGGGGTAAATTAGAAGAAGATGGATCATGAGAAGATTGTTTTTCGGAAAGTTGGTTGACATCGCAACAATAACCAAACAAGTAACTACGATGACTCATACTGAAAAGACTATTATGAAAATTGTAGGTAGGTTTTCTTTGAAAATATGTTGGGTGCTTCATGGTTAATTGATTTATAGAGAGTAAGAAATCCTTGACCAACTATAATATGGATTGGATTAATGTAATTTGATATGAAAAAGACTTTCCGGTTCCAAAATGGAAATATTAACATACGCTAATTATGGTTGGAAGGAGTTAACAGTATCTTATCAACCAATGACAACACTTTAAAATATTACTTTTATTTTGCTTATATAAATTAATTACATAATATTTCCTTAATTAGATAGTGTTTATAGTACTCTGAAAATCAATTTAGGTAATATACTGACGATCAATTAGTTAGGGTTCTTTTAAGAAGTTAGTTACTAAAATAATTTCCTGTAAAGGAACCCCTCTTTCTTCTCGTCTCTTCTATTTTATTAAGTATTCAAATTTTAATACAATATTTTAACAAATCAGATGTGTATCCATAATTCTAGATTCACACATTTTAATATTCAAATATACACTTAAATTGAAATGTCTTAATCTTAATAAAGTAAGATCATTGTAAGTTAACGAACCATTATTAATTTCTTTTATTTTAATCTTATATAATTGGTTTGTCATTTAACGCTATGATCTTTGAGACGAAAGTACCTTCTCATAAAAGGAGTAAATAGGTAAAATTTAATACTTGATCGCACGCTCCTAAGAAATATATTATATACACATATATATCAGAACAATTTTTTCCTTTTCATGATAGTACATTGATCAAAAAACATTAAAATAACTAAGAGTTTTATGATACTACTTAACAAAGAAATTTTTGGTAATCATGTCAAATATCGTTTCCGACCACTATCTATACATCTGTTTATCTAAAAAAAAAAAAGGATTTGCTTTCCTTTGCTAAAACTACTTAGTAATACTAAACATTCTTGCCTACACGCAATTATTAAAACATACTCTATAGTAACTTTTCAAATCAAAATATCAAAACAACTTTTTTTCATGATATTCAATCGACTAAAAAGCATGAAAAATAACAAAGAATTATATGATACTACATATAAGTTTTGGGTCATGGATTGCCCATATGGATCCAATCTAGTCCTATCCAACCAAACCCGATAATTTTTTTGAAATAAAGATAAACACAATTTTGAAAAAAGAAATGACAATGGTTACGGGGTAACTGGTGAACCACTTTTACTCCCTATTTTAAAGTGGTGTTTCACTTTGATCGGAAGTAAGAAATAGAAGAGAAAGAACGCAATAACAAAAAAAGGGTTGAAAGAGGAAATCAAATTTCTATCTTCAAATAAACATCTACTACAAGTTGACACTTAGTTTGTGAATCAGTTACCTTGTTTTTTTTCTTGAAATTCAAGTTTGGCTTGGAGCAATTCTTCAAAAAAAAAAAAGAATTTTATTGATCTTCCATTGTTGATAGTTGTCACACCCTTTTCTTGACAGCGGAAATGATTTTTCCAATTTAAGTGACGGTATTGATTAAGGGATTAGTTTATTTTTGTTTTAGAGTCACCCCTTGAAATTGAGTTATAGTGTTCCAAGTCACTCTTTTGAATCCCTAATCAAAAGAAAACGACTCTTTATTTGGCCTGCGAAAACAAAAGACCGGGTAAGAAATAATGCTGATGGAGGGGAAGGTATTAGGCATCCCTCGAGTCCCGTGGTTCTAGCACGGCCGCTTTTATTAACTCATACTACTTGCTTTAAAATATTTTTGGATATACGGTTACATGCTACAGTTTGCTCACATATTTTATTATTAAAATTTATTAATCTCAAATCTGATGCATAACTGCATTCTCAATTTTTAAGGTTTAATTACTTAGAAGCATAACTGTTCTCTTCTCTCAATTGTATCACCTTAGTATTTTTAGCCTACAAATTTTAGTTTACATTAACCAAAATTAATATGATCATTTGACCAAGGTGCATCACCGCATCCTTGAATTTTTTTCAACTGTCTCAAAAAGATGTAAAATCATATTGTTTATTGAAACCTTATGGTTATTTATTACTCTTTTGTAAAGAAAAAAAATTATATTTGTCTAATGTTAGAGAGATTTTTATTTGTTACTTTTTGGGCTAATTCAAATCTCCTTCTTATCCCTTATTATTGGTCAAAGATAATCAATTTAAAAGTTATAAATTTGTAATGACCCGTAAAGTCGTTTTTGGAAAGTATCATATAAATTATCATTTTTACCCTTTTTGATAATTGTATGAGTCAATTATTTTGATAAATCGGTGGAGTTGGTTTGGAAATTTTTGATCTATTTGTTAATTACAATTATTTAGTGGATGGGTGATTTTTAAATAATTAATTTTAATTGGTGGTTAATGGGCCAAGTCCATGTGTAAAACTGAATTACATTATAAAGGTTTATTACTATTTTGCATAACACAAGGAGTAACCGCTAATCCACGAACGGTGCGGCAATAACACGAAGACACCGCTTTGCTGCAGGTAATTCATCACCACACCAAAATCTTGTACTATGATTATGGATAGTCATGTTATTATTGCTATTATCATGTATTTGGCGTGAATAGAATTGGATTTGAGACTTAGTGTTGTGTCGGCATATTAAATTGAGGGCAAGTTCTTGCTGCTATCGATAATTGTTTATGGGGATTAGTGGTAAGTGTTGTAGGATTGAATTGATGAGATATATCATACTAATATATATTAATAATATGTTAGCAGATAAGGAATTGGAATATAGTATATGTTTTGCAACATGTGGTCAGAATGTATTATGGATAGTTGAAGCTATGGTTAATAATGACCTACCTATAGGCCAATAATTGAATATTTAATTGTTGGGGAATAAATTATAGGAATATAACTTGTAGAAATATGTACCGTTCTGGATTGGTTTTTCCGTGAACAAAATCGCGATGTTCATAAATTTGGATTTCTAGCGTTTCTCCAATTCCTTCTTATAATTATCACATATGATTCAAGCTTTGAGCTATTGAGACATGTAATTAAATATTAGGTGCATGATATCATATGAAGACCATTATATTTATGATATTTGGAAATATTGAAACTTAACCCTAGGCTTGAAATTTGGAAAACATGAGAATTGACACCAAGATTAAGAACTTGATTATAAATTGAGTGAGTTTTTGGGTCTAGGCTAGACCTATAGTAATCTGAGTGTGGTTAGTTTCAAAATCTTATTGTAATTATTAATGTGAATAGATTGCTTTGAGTTGGAAGTTCAACGAAAGGGAAGACTCAAGTCTCGGAGTGATTGTTCGACTATTTGAGGCAAGTGGATTTCTAAACTCTTGTTAAGTGTATGGAATTCGTGTATTTCCTTGTAATATGTGTTTGGGGGTAACGAGACTTGGTGATGGGTTGACTTGTCCACATTGATAAATTCTAATGATGAAAAAGGGGTAATAAAAGACAATGTGATTAATTGTTTGTGTGTGATGTGTTGAGAATGGTTTGAAAGGCTTGTTGAATCATTGTTGATGTTGTATCATGATTGTGTTGTTGTGAATTGTGCAATGTTATGAAAATGGTCATCTCATCATTATTTGTGTGAACATGTCATTTGCATTGTTCTGATACATGGTTGTGATGAGTGTTATGTGAATTGAGAAAAAAATAAGAAATTAAAAAGGATGTACCATTTCGAGGGATGTATTGCGCACCGCGATGGATACTATATTTCGATGGACGTATCGCACGCCGCGATGGTTACTATTATCGAGGGTCGTATCGTGCGCCGTGATGGATGCATGGACAGATATGTCCCCCATGGATCCCGGATTGAGAGACATCGGGTGTGTATCACTAGGTTAGACATGCATCACTATACTTGACATTACATTCCATTGCATTGCACATATTTATCATTAGTGAACTTGATATTGTGTTTTGCTGATCTTGTGAGTGCCTTTCTATGGAGCTTTGATTGATGAATATTGAGCTTGTTGTTGAGGATATGTAATTGTTAGAGTGTTGTTGAGATGTGTGCTATGTGAATTATGAACTGTTAGGTTGGCTGGTTTTATACAGGTTGTAGTAGTGGAGGTTGTAATTGATGAATATTGAGCTTGTTGTTGAGAATATGTGATTGTTAGAATGTTGTTGTTGAGATATGTGCTTGTGAATTGTGAACTGTTAGGTTGGGCTAATTTTATGCAGTTTGTAGTTGTGGAGGTTCGGTTAGGGTGTAAGGAGTACCCGTATTCTATCCCCTTAGCTTGTGTTTAGAGATTTACTTGCTGAGTACCGTGTGGTTTGGTACTCACCCCTTGCTACTACATTATTTTTGTAAGTTACTAGCTCGGACCTTTGTGATATATTCTCTTCTTTTCCGAGGCTTCTTGGAGATTTTGTGAGGTAGCCATTTGTTATCTCAGCAGATCTTCTTACTCCTATTTATGATATTGTTCTATTCTAGAAACAATGTCATTTGTGTCACGCCCCAAGCTTACACCCTGGGCGGGACCAGCACTCGAAGACCATTGCTGGCCCCAAGCGAACCCTTGGCATGGCCTACTTAACTCAGCGGAAACTTAACTCAATAGAATAACTTCATGCAATGAAAGGTCATAAAACCACCTAACTGATGAAAACTGGCCAAAAAGGCAACTCGTGTCTCAAAATAGAATATTTATATATATACATAGATGAGAGACTCAATACTAACTGACTAACTGTCTATGAAGCCTCTATAACACTGAGATGGATGTTAGGACAGACCCCGCAACATCCTAATAAAGCAAAACTAGGAACACAAAATAACAGAGTCCTCCGGAAGGCAAGGAGGCTCACCATTGACTCTGGAATGCTCAGCTGAATCAACGGCGTACTGGATGCTGATCCTGGGTACCTGCGTCTGCATCATCATAAGATGCAGACCAACTGGCATCAGTACATTGAATGTACGAGTATGTGAGTTGGAAAGCTAAACAACAACTTAAGCTTGAAAGGAGTACAAAAGAACACTTAC